CCCCAAAACCCCAAAACCCCAAAACCCCAAAACCCCAAAACCCCAAAACCCCAAAACCCCATGTTAAAATATTAAATAGAATATTTGTCATAAATTAAATCCAAATATCCTAATATGGCTAAGAGAGGGTATATGCGCATTATCGCACTTACAATAGCATTCACTGCTATTTTCTTCAGCTTGATCAAACCAGTTCAAGCAAAGGGGAAGAGACTTAAGGAGTTGCAAGCAATGCAGGAGTCTAGTTATATTATGAACTTTAACTGGAGAGAATTCAAGAGATATGTCCTCCAAAACTCTGGAGAATACCAGATTATTCTTGATTACACTATTGGAGAGAACTGTGATCATTGCGAAGTGTTTGAAAGTGAGCTGAGTGAAGTCGCTTATACATATCATAGTGCTGGAATGCATCTTGATCAAGATTTGGACTCCAAACTTCCTATTTTCTTTGCTAAGATTGAATTTAATCAAAATAATAGAGAAGCTTTCTTGATTAGTGAGTTCAATTCTGCTCCAATCTTGGCAATCGCTACTAAGAAAGAAGCTGATCAGTATAAGGAAGAGAAAAAGGTTATTTATGATGGCAAAACTTCATGGGTAATGTCAGCCCAGGACGTTACTGAAGCAGGAGTCCTAATTGAGCATGTCAACAGGATGACAGGAAACAAACTTCCTATCCGCTATACAATGTTGAGAACTGCTAAAGGAACTATTCTTATCCTGATAGCATTGGGAATTTTGTTCTTCTTAAAAGATAAACTTGCTAGTCTCATTCAGAACAGAATTGTCTGGTTCATCGGGTCAGCTGTTGTATATCTCCAATGTGTAGGAGGAGTTGCTTTCAGTCTTATTCACTCTATGCCAACATTTAGGTATGGCCAAGACGAATCAGGAAATCTTATTGTTGAAGAGTTCTTCCAAAGAAATGGTAGAGGACAATATGCTGGAGAAGGATACATTTGCTCTTTCTTGATGTTCGTCACTGCATCTTTATTGGTTGTCTATACAAGACTTAATAAAATGGAAGATGGAATGAAAAAGGAAATCATCTGTTTACTTCTTGCTATACTCGGATTCATTGGCTTCACTGTGGTAAATGAGATCTTCCTTTTGAAGTCACCAATGTTCTCTTCAGGTTTCTATCCACCGAATCATTACATGAGAGGACCATACAGTGTTGACCAGGGTACAAACATCTAAATGATACATTTATTATCTCAACCACTGAAAAGCTTAGAGGGGTTTTGGGGTTTTGGGGTTTTGGGGTTTTGGGG